GGCAGTTGCCCGGTAAGTTAACGTTATTATCCAGTAATTATAGAAGTATTGATGTATTATAATCATGTTAAAGGTATAAAAATATACGCATGAATATATTAATCGTAATAGCTGTTGAAGTATGGTCATTTTGAGTAATTTATGTAAATAGTTCTTTAAGCCTAGTTCTCATTCATCGCAAACCGTCGGCGATGGGAGCTTTGCGACGTCGGCGACCGCTTGCCATTTATGAGAACACATCAAAAATTATATCGCCGATTGTCCGTAATCGTCGCCGACCATCGGCGATGACATCGCAGGAAACAAAAAAGTTTGTTTCTTGCGACCATCACCGACTGCCACCTGCTTGAAAAATCTATGAGAAATGAGTAAAAGTTGTTTTTTCCTCTACAAGCAAGGAAATAATCAATTGAAGTTTGACAGAAATAATGAACTTTGCATTGAATGGGGCCATTTTGTGCTTTGGTGGGAAATTTCGAAACACATCGGCTGTCATCTGCGACGATCACCGATGTATGAGAACTTTCGTGCATTCGCGCTCGGCGAGTATCGGCGATAAGCGTCGCCGATCGTCGGTGACAGTTTGCGATGAATGAGAACTAGGCTTTAGAACGGTGCATGATTTGTCTTAAGTTTGAGATTATAGACGGAGATATTTATGGTTTCATCAACTTTTGGGAGATATATTACTTTGTATTTGATAAATCGGCATGTTTATTGTAGGATACAGGAAGTGTGTATTTTAATATTTTGTTTACTTAGTTATATTGCATTAACTTTTATAGCTTGTAAACGTCGCCCTCGTATTTTGGGGTACATGTTCAAAATAAAAGAAAATAATAAACAGTTTTCACGAATCTATTATGTCCCGGTAACATATATAAATAGACATCTTCTTGTTTTATTGTTGCATCAATTTTAACCAAAAAAAATACCCACAAAGTAGGTCAAGTGTATGGATAAATTGTTCATTTACTAAAGTACATTTTTACAGTTATTTATGTACTTTATAGTCTTATTTGCATGAGTGTACATGACAGATTGTTTTAATTAGATATACCCAGTTATCATTTATAACATATGGTTTGCTTAAAAATGCTGGAAAAAAAACAAAAAAGTTAGCCAATTGAAATAAATGTACTAATAACTTGCTAAACATAGCTAGTTGCTATTTATTATATAAAAAAACATCTGTCAACATACACTCATGCTTTTTCCTACCACTTGAGTCTCCACTTACCAGGTTTCGTTATGAAAATTTTTGGATTAAATCATGTGCGGATTTACTGGGGGGGGGGTTAGGAGGGGTTAACCCCCCTAAGTAGAATCTATCTAACCCCTCTTATAAAGTGTTTAAAATTAACCCCACCAAAATTTTGCATCAAAAGTCTTTAACCCTAATTCCTAACCCCTGTAAAAAGCTCACTCAGTGGTACTGCTTGCACCCCACTAGAAATGTTTCCACCAGACATCGACGACATCTGCAGCAATTAGTGGGTGCAAATACTTGCATAGTTCAAAAGCAATATAACCAACATGTTGTCCATCCAGTTCCATAGTCTAGTCAATAGGCAATTCCAGCTTTTAATTTATGTGTGCAGGGGGCGGCAGGAAGTAAGGTATCATATAGCTGATTATGCTGAAAAATTTTAATAAAATAAACTAAAAACTGGAATTGCCTATTGCACTTGGGTCCCTTGGATTCAATGGTGTTGGCCATATTCTTACATTCACTATTTTATCTTGTTCATGAAAAGTGAGGTATTATGCCTTTTAAAATCTAATTTTCCAAATGATGTTGGTAGTTTTTCTCACGAGCAGCACTGATGCACTTGAATGGTACAGCGTGGGCGATTTCTTCCTCATCACTTTCATCTTCTCACTTACAGGTAAACTATGTGAAGCGTTCCTCTTTTGACTTCCTAACTCATTTTGAATTTTCCTCATTAGCTTTGCAAATTTGAAAAACTCTTTGCAAATCCCTTGAGGGAATTTGCAATATTCCTATCGGCTGTTGCAATATTCCAATGCAACAAACTTCATTTTAAATTTTCCTAACTTCCTGTTTTAATTTCCTAACTTCCTGTTCTGTTCTGAGCGTTGTTATTGGTTGATTATTTTTGTTAGCCAATTGCAACGCCCAGAACAGAACAGGAAGTTAGGAACTTGTAACAGGAAGTTAAGAACTTCTAACAGGAACTGAGGAAAATTTAATTGGCTTTTAGCAACATTGCAAATTTCCTCAAGGGATTTGCAAGGGAGTTTTTTAAATTGCAAAATTAATGAGGAAAATTGCAATCAATTTAGAAACTCAAAAGAGGAACGCTTCACGTAGTTTACCTGTAAACGTCATCACTTGCTGCCCTGTCACCCCTTTCATTATCATATCCATCCTGAACAGGCTCAAGACCAGCCAACCACTCAAGTAATCCCTTTCTACAAAATCATAACAAGAAAATTATTATTTGATACATTATCATCTCTAAAATTAGCAAACATGTAACCTCTAAAATTATATTCTCACAACCATCCACAACTAGATACAAACAGGCATCATACTCAGCAAAAATTTATAAAACAATACATACAAATAACTGAATAACAATATACCTTCAGACTCATCTGAGAACCAATGTAACTATACTGTATGCACATATATGTAAAAATCTATCCAATACAAACAGGCATCATACTTCAGCAAAAATTTATTAAACAATTCGTTTAACTCAAAACATGTACATATCTATCACAGTGACACAGTACATATACACACACAATAGGGTCAAACTAGAGTAGAGGCATTATAAACACAAGTATGACGCCATAATGTTGTACAGTGTATTTATAAAATTAATACAGTACAAGAATAAAAACAACAAAGCGGAAATTTGACTATAAAATAACACGATAACTGTAATGCATTGTAGTATACCAACCTTATTAAAATACTGCGCTTGTTTTCACGTTGATGATACACGGAGATTTAACGCCATCCCACTTAGAAAGAAGAACCTCGCTATTGGGAATATCAAATTAAACACAATTCCTTTTCTCAGACGGATTATTTATAAAGCTAAAATGACAGCACGTCCCATGCAATTTAAAAAAGGTAAACTTGATATAGCAAAACACAAGTCATAATGATGATCGCAACAATACAGCAATAACATGCTGTTTCGTTTCACAAAGTATCACAGCCTGACACTCTTGTCGTTCGAAAGCTTCCATATTGATTTAGTCAGAGAGATGTTCACTCCTCGACAGTCAACAGTCAATGAAGTCACGCGCGGAATTAGGCGCTCAATGCCCATGATGCTTTGCGGCCTGCTGTCCAACCTCCTCTGTGATCAAAGTGAAGCCAAAAAAATGGCGGATTTTGACGTTTGCTGACGCCATTTCCATGACAACTGGTCCGTAATTCTCACAGAATTGCCACTGACCAACCGCGATCCTGAGCTTCAGACGACGTTTTCACCCCCCTGGTTTTGGCAGTGTTTTTAGTTGAAAACATATTAATATTTTCTCGAGCTCGTATTTTGCTGGGGGTTTTTACAACTTGGAAGGAATTAAAGTGCCGTTTTGCTCCGCTTGCTGATGCAACAATTTATTTTACATAAAGGACGAGTAATTCTTTTTACAGGTAAGATTTATGGGACGGATAGAACGAAATTATAAAAATATTTTGTCAAAATTCAACACTTGTTCACTTGACTTCACTCATCATGTCAAATGAACTGCAAATATTTCAATATTGGACATAAAAAACCTTGTAAAATTTGTGGTCATAAGATTTACTGTTTTGTTTTATCCCTGGCAATGTGTCTTACACAGATTATGGTGTGAAAATAATTTAAATACACTTAAAATATAGACCAGGATTAGCACATGCAAGGCCAGAGAGGAGGTCAAAATAGCCAGGGCCACTACACTGGATTCACTTGTTATGACATCAACATATAGTAGTGTACTGTTAACGACTGTTAGTGTTAATGGCCCACATATACAATAAATTGACTGATCAGATTTTGTCATATAATCAAGTGACAAGTATTAAGAGACTCCAGAAACGGTTAAATTTAATACTGTGAGCAGTGGCATAGCCAGTAAAACGGAAGTGGGGGAACAATCAATGGCGTCATTAAGAAATTGGAGGGAGCTGCCGAAGGCATGAGCCTATTAGCGGTTCTGGGGGCACACTCACCCAAAGATTTTGAAAATTATCTGAAAACATCCACATCATCCCTACACAAGAAATGTGAAGTTGCAAGCCAGGGTCCTATTTATAGTGTATTTTGCTTTTCTCAGGAGTATAGATTCTAATCGTCTCCTCCAGACAGCATAAATTTCCTCCATGTATAGTTGGAGTGTGGATTTTTCTGGAATATGACTCAATATTCAAACTATACATGTATTTCCACAACAGAGCGGAATACACAAAGAACTACAACAAGAATATTTTTATTAATTAGTAAACCTTAAACTGTGGATCCTTCCTCTCTCTTGAACAAATTGTTATCTTAATTTCTCTGTGATTGTCTTGACTTTCATGAAATTGGTTACAAAGAAACTAGATTAAACTAGTGGATAATGATTTACCATTTCAGTACTATGTAAAAAGACCTTTATTAAGTGTATATGCAGTTTTGTGGATGAAAAGAAGCATGCATCCACAATTTTTGGTAATAAATGCTGTTTTTCAGGTGGAAGAATGTGTAATAATATTGGTGTAATATGATTGTTGTCTTTTATCTTGCAGGAATTATTGGCTATAGATATCACAAAACATGGGACGTACAAGGCATTAAAATGCAGATGCCAATCATTGATGGATTTTCTGGGGGGGGGGGTGCACCCCCAATAGTATTTTCACCACCTCAGAAAGTTTTTCCACCACAGAAATTTAAATGCTGGTTTGATTAAATGACAGCAGTATAATTGAACAAGAATTTTGAACTAAATAAGGCTAAAAAACAAGGCCAATATTCTCAAAATATCCTGGGGTCGTTGCCCCCAACCTTACCCCAATTGTGTCCCCATTAGTGACTGTGCCCTCATACTCTGCTGCATCTTACTCAGCACACTACTTTCTCACTTTTCTGCACACCCACACTCCCCAAGCAAAATTTGAAAATCTGTCTATGATGGTGATGATAATTAACTTATAAAAGTATAAACCTTGTTTATTATTAAGTTACTTAAATTAAAGAATCATTGTCAACTACAATGCATTGCATGCTCGTGTTTGTTTATACATATGGGATCTGTGCAATTAAATATGATAATTATTTGCATGATATGATAAGTACTGCGCTGCCTGCTATTACAGTATTACTTGAAAGCCTTCAGGGGTGGATCCAGCAAGGTTTTTCTAGGGGGTGATGGGTGAGCAGCCAAGTGTTTCTTTATAATTTTTTAGGGGGAGAGAAATTTTTTGGTGGGAGCGAAACGACTCAAGCACTAAAGGTGCAAGCTCCCTAGGGGGTTGAGGGATATGCCCCCAGAAAATTTTGAAAATTAGATCCGTAGAAATGCTATTTCCTGTGATATGGACATTGAATTATGAGCTTCAGTTTGACTTCAAAAAAGGGAAAACCTTGGAAATTATGCCATGTTTCTGAATTTGATTTTATTGCACCCCTGTTGACCAAGGCCAACAGGGGTGTGCACCCTCCCTATTAATCCACCCCTGAATTAAGTTAACACATACTCCACTACATCATGTATACTTAATTACAATAATTTTAGTGTTAATTTAAAATTATTCACTGTTGATAATTTTACTGTATTGAAGAAGTCCAATTAAAATAGTTCAAAATTAATCCAGCTTTTGTGTCTTCAATTTCCATACATCTTGCTTGGTACTGTATTTTGCCTGCCCTACTTTTACTTGTCAATGGGAGAGCCACTCTATGAGTTAATGGGAAACCAGAGTGAGTCAGGACAAATGCCAGATTATGGTGTCTCAATTGTGAGATAATTCTGGAATAAACACAAATATATTATATGTTGTAACTTTGAGCACAAAAATGATGATGGGAAAAACAAAACAATGTGACTCAACTCCAAACCAGAGACACCAGAACCATTGGTGCAATTATCAGGCTTAATGGTATAATAATCAAAAGTGGCCAGGACACAAGGTACCTTCCCAGTGCAAGGGAAGCAACATACAGTAGTTACTAATTGCCAGATTGCCATGCATCCAGTATATCTGGTGTTCCAAATTGTTAAACCCATTAAGCTGCAGACAGGGCCGTACGCAGGATTTTTTTCACCGGGAGGAGGGGGGAGTTTAAGGCCTATATGTCGAAAAAGTCCCAAATATCCAAAGAATAATTAATGATATTCTAGAAATCGTGAATATAGTTTTCTCCGGGGTGAGTTGCCTCCCTTGCCTCCCCGCTGTGTATGGCCCTGGCTGCAGAGCTTCCCCAGTGGGGTGCATTGCAGCTCAATTGGTTAATTATAAAGGTTGTGATAGACGTTATGTACCACCTGAGCTTTCATAACCCCTACAACCCTCTGCCCCCCCCCCCCAACGTGTTGTAAATGGCCAATGTACCACCTTTTCATCATACAGCAGCAACATTTTCTTGGGGTGGGGGTATTTTGGGAAATAGTACCCCAAAAATCTTGACATTGATTAGCCTTGTATGCAAAGTTGGCACATATTACACAAAACCTGAATATATTTAAACACATACCTGACATACCGTTTGCTTTGAAGGAACGTCTGGAGTTACTGTAATACCATTTTCTAAAGTACAGTATAGATAACAAAAAGTTTTAGTTTCTGCAACCAAATTTTGAAATATACAGATAACAGATTTGCCAGGCTGTTTTCTTAACAAAAAGATTGCATTTCATCGTCAAGCTTAAGTTAAGCCTACCAATTTTATGTGAGATAAGATAAAGCATAAATAAAATTGAATGAAATACCTGTTTATAGCTCGCTGATTCAAATATCCTCTTTGGCTTTGCTCATATTTTGCGAGGACAGCGAGGTTTGAATTTTTTTGTCTTTCCAGGGAAGAATAACACGTACGACTTGCACATCTTTGAACCAATAACCAAATTTAGAAAAAATCTCTCGAAAGCATTTTAAAAATCCATTCAAATATCGAGAAAATACTACAAAACCCGAGCAAAATTGCAAAAACCTAAAGTTTTTTTAAGAAAACCAGGGGTGTGTGGAAATTGTAGCAGGCTCAGATCCGAGCCTGGTCAGTGGTAATTACCATGAGAAATACGGACCAGTTGTCATGGAGATTGCGTCAGCAAAGGCCGAAATCCGCCATGTTTTTGGCTTCACTTTTTTTTCCCGTACAGGTCCTCCAGTAATATAGTATAGCTCAGTGATTTACACCCGGGGAAACGAAAGCATTAGCGAAGTCTAAAGCAGTGAAGAGTGTATCTAAAAGTCGAGGGTCGAGAGTATAGGTCGAGAGTCGAGGGTAAAAGTCGAGAGTCGAGAGTAAAAGTTGAGAGTCGAGAGTAACAGTCGAGAGTCGAGAGTAAAAAGTCGAGAGTAAAGAGTCGAGAGTCGATCGAGAGCAAAAAGTCGAGAGTCGATCGAGAGTAAAAGTCGAGAGTCGGCAAATCTCATCAGAAACAACAAAGTCAAGATATTTTTAACCACGTTTATTGTCGTTCCAATTGAAGTGTTGCTCAAATATTGATTCAATACATTACCTCGGGCTGACCAATTCATTTGATCAAGTTCCTCGAGATATTCATACACTTCCTGTGAAAGAGCCAATTCAAAGTATTTGATCATTTCTGGTCACTTCCTTTCTATTTATGATTGGTTAGTTGCACAAACAACAAAGGTGATTGGTGCATTCAAACTATTCAACAGGAAGTTTACAATTATACTAGGAAGTGTATGAATATATCGAGGAACTTGATGAAATGAATTGGTCAGCCCGAGGTAATGTATTGAATCAATGTTTGAGCAACACTTCAATTGGAACGACAGTAACACAATCTATATATAGCTTTACATAGCCATTTCGTAACAAGTACCAACGGCTGAAATACAAACTTTCCAATAAATATTGCTACCAGGGGCGTGGCGAACGATTCCAGATTTGGGGGGCGTCACCATAATGACCAACTTTTTCAATGAAATGACCAACGTTTCTCCAAATTTTTTTTTGGCGACCTTTTTTTTTGTAAATAATATAAGATTTCGTTTAATATTTAAATAATTCCTTTGACCAACTTTTCAAAAATTTTGACCAACTTTTCAAAAATTTTGACCAACTTTTCAAAGTTCAGAATTATTAAGGGGGGGGCGTCGCGCACCCCCAAGACCCCCCAGTCGCCACCCCCTGATTGTTGCAACAGTCAATAATAATAACGTGAACAAAAAAGATTGGATAAGAAAATAATATCGCATTTGATGCCTCAATCTTGCTAAATGTTTTCACATTTCATTCTAACTGACACATAAACTCGGCTGAATTTTGGACAGCCATCTCCAGGCTTGTAACTAAAATGTCACTTATTCCAATCATTAACGTACGTTTATATCAAACGAGAGCGTATTAAGAAATCCACGTTGATCACAATCTAACGATTCATACAATTGTGAATTCATAAATACGAGGCAGTAAAAATAGGATTCTTTTGTCGCATGTGTGACTCTATCGGGTGGTAATATGTCTCGCATATTATTGTAAAGTCCTAGTATTTATATGTAGCTTCACATATGAGTAATTTTTCGCGGAAATAGGTGCATGTAAAAGCGGGAAGGATGGACAGTAATATATAAGGAAGCGATAAAACTAGTTATAAGATAACAGTTATTATTATTGAATGTTGTGGCTAAATTTTTGCGAAAGTTTTGTTTTATATTATACTGGATTATTCCTTTGATTGCATATGCCTCTTGTTTACTTTAATTTCGAGAATTTGAGCATACTAAATTATGTTTCGCAAATATTGTTTGCTTTATGTTCCGATACACAGGAAGTGAAATTAGTTCAGCCGTCATAGGCGTACAGGCGGGAAAAACTCAGGGAGACAGAAAAAAATTTACCCGACTTTTACCCACTGAATAAAATTTTCCGCGTAACTATTAAATTTCCCGAGTTGTCGTTGGGAAGTAGACAAAAATATTTTCCTATTTGTCGATTCCTCGTTATTTCTGGTATTTTCAAATACCATATTGCATGTACTGTCTTCTTTTTAAACTTATTTCCCCCAATTTTTGCCCGAATTTATACGTTTATAATTTGCATGACTTTATTTTGACTGCCCCCCCCCCGTACGGCTATAATCAGCCGTTGTTACGGATCGGTTATATATTGTGTTAAATATTTTGACTTTGTTGTTTCTGATGAGAGGGTCCTGAAGGGGGGTCCCAATCCCATTTCCCACCTGAAATTTTGGCAAATCCCAGTCCCAGTTGGATTTTTATTAGAAATCCCAGTCCCAGTTATTGAAATCCCAGTCAATAAAAAAACCCTTTATTTATTGGTAGAATAAACAGTTTTAAGACCTTTTAAGCAAGTGGCGGACACTTTATGAAATATTTAATTAGGGGGGTGCTACCCGGAAATGGCATTTGCAGCATTCTGAGACACGCATAATCAGAAAACCCAGAATTGCGGGCGCCAGAGTATGCCTGTTCGCAGGTAGCGCTGTGAGTAATATAGTTAACAACATAAATCATGACCAAAGACACCAAAAACATATCAAAATTGTATTTTAAAATACTCAAAACGCAGAAAAATTGGGAATCGACTCGCATTACCTCAATCCCATTCCCATTTTTGAGTACTTCATTTCCCATTCCCAGTGGCCAAATCCCAGTCCCAGCAACCCAAATCTAAATTCCCAGTCTAAAAATAGATCAATCCCAGTTCCCATTTTACCCCTTCAGGACCCTTTTGTTTCTGATGACAGTTGCCGACTCTCGACGTTTTACTCTCGACTTTTTACTCTCGATCGACTCTCGACTTTTTACTCTCGATCGACTCTAGACTTTTTACTCTCGACTCTCGACTTTTTACTCTCGATTCTCGACTTTTACTCTCGACTCTCGACTTTCACCCTCGACTCTCGACCTATACTCTCGACTCTCGACCCTCGACTTTTAGATACACTCAGCAGTGAACTATATACATGGAAGGCTGACTTCAGTCAGTTACATAATCAAAAAGTGAAGCCAACGATGGAGGATTTTGAAGCCATTCTTGCGCGTCATTCTCAGTCTCCTTACCCGCGCGGCCAAACATTTTTTGTATTTTAATGGCGGGAAGTGATGGGTCCGCGACTCTCGGGTTGTGTTATATTTCGGGAACTCCGGTCGAAATATATGAGAATACTAGCGGTATGGCATTACCAATCTGTGCTTCACATCACATTTTAACCCAAAGAAATCTCTGGTAAAAACCCCAACACCCCCCTGATCTGACCCGTCCCATAATCCTCCTGTGGCTTTTTTACCTTGTGCTTCACACGCGAACAGGTAAGCTTCAGGTAGGCTAAAATATTTGCTTTTTGACGCTTTTTCCTATTGTTTTTCATATGTTTTAGACACTCTCTATGTTTTCATATGTTTTAGACACATTCTCACTCAGAAAAACAACCAGAGCCTTGCCGGGACGGCGACACGCTTTCGATTTTGGCGGGAAATGACAATCCTGAAAATTTTGAGGATTTGGCTATTGAGCCACCAGAGCAGGCTATTGAGCCATCAGAGCAGGCTATTAAGCCACCAAACTCTGCCGTACAGCTAAACACTAGCGATGATATTTGTGGCGACAGAATTGATTCTTCAAAACAACAATCAGTTGAACTCAGCAACGCTAGCGAAGGTCAGCCAGGTTTATACGACCCCGAAGCTGTTACGACCTCGTGGTCTCCATCTCAGGAGTTTAAGGATTTTTTAGAGAAAAATTTTCGAAGGAAACTATCCTTTGATCACATTTGTGATATTTTGGAGGAACAAGCTATTCCTCAGGTAGATTCCCTCGTTACTCCTACTCTAGATCCACCAATGTTGTCTCATGTTTCATATCAAAATAAAAAGTTTGTGCAGGAGCGAGATAAAGAGCTCGCTGTTGTTCAACGTGCTATGTTGAACATCACAGGCCCATTATTCACATTACATGACCGTTTAGAAAACAACCTTCCTGTTAGCCCTACTGAGCTCAAGTTGCTTGTTGAACAATCCCTTTGTTTAGTTGGTTCGGCTAACTCACAATTATCGGTACTCCGCCGCAAGAAGGTACTTGCATCCATTAACAAATCAAAAATTGATTTGGCAAACCAGCCATTGCCAAACGCTCAACGATGGCTATTTGGAGACGATTTTCCCTCAATTGCATCTAAGGAAGCCGAGCTATCACGGGGTTTGGCAAAAAATCTGGCTCCTACGGCCCCCAAAATTTATAACCAAGACCCGAAACAACCAAGCAGAAGTTTCTCTCAGTCTACTAAATACAATACTCAAAACAACAGGGGTCAGTTTTCTCGTACTCCCCAGTCTCGTTTCCAACGGCCCCCAAATTATCACACCACTTCGAACAGTGGCAGGTTCTGACAGCAGTCCCATTTATTCTAGATGTTGTTGCCGGTTTAAAAATTCCTTTTAGAGTCAGAAACACTTATTTATGTACAAGGAGGTGTCAGACCTGTTAACGAAGGGGGCAATTTGCAAAGTCCCCTTTGCCAAGTCCCCAAGAAGGACGGCGGTATGAGATCGGTTATAGATCTAAGCTCACTGAATCAATACATAGAAACATAACATTTCCAGATGGAACATCTTTCCTCGATAAAAACCTGCCTACAACAGGGGTACTACATGACAAAATTGGGCCTAAAGGAAGCATATCTTTCGGTCCTGCTGGAAAATCAAAACGTATCAGTTCAAAGCAGAAACGACGAACATTGTGTTGTCAAATCCTGAAAATCGAGAAACCTGCATTAAGGAGCATAGCTCAACTGTTGGGGTTACTAGAATCTTATCGTCCGGCAATCTGGAAGGCTCCTTTTCACTTTCGTTTTCTTCAAGCTTTGCTTATTCGCAACCTGCACACTTCAGATCACAATTACGAAAATTCAACTTCCATGCAAACAGAAAACTGAAATCCAATGGTGGTTTCAGAATATTATGACAATCAATGGCAGCCCAATTACGGTGCCTCCCCCGGATGTAACAATTTTTCCGATGCCTCGAAACAGAGGTGAGGCAGTCACCAGCATTTATCAAACCGAGAAGTTGTTACACATCAATATTCTCGAACTGAAAGCTGTTTTTTCTAAGCCTGAAGACTCTCTTGAAAAACTATCGTTCAATGACAGTGTCACTGAACATAACTATCGTTCAATGACAGTGTCATTGAACATGGACAATTCAACCGCGGTTACTTACATAAATCACAAAGGGGGCACCACCCGTTGCTATTACTAGAGCTGACATTATAACTGTGGGATTGGCGCAAGCAGAGAGACTTATTTGTCATAGCCCACCACCTTCCAGGGAAGATCGACATTCAAGCAGACCTCGAATCCAGGCAGTTTCTGGAGGCTCACCATTGGGATGCCTTCACGGTGAGCTGGAAGGGACTTGCGGGTTATGCTTTCCCTCCCTTCAACTTGGTCCCCATGGTCCTCAAAAGGTCTTGTCGGACCAGACAGAGATCTTCTTGATAGCTCCAATTTGGCAAGCTCAGCGTTGGTGGCCTCTTCTACTAAGTCTTCTGGTACAACATTAATTAACCTGTCCTGCTACCAAACAGCAAACATCTCTTGAAGGATCCAACCGACCCTTCCTTAATTCACCGATGTACCCACGTCTACATTTGGGCGTATTTCACATCTCGAACGTTAGCAAACTACTCATTTTCAGCCACTCGTAGTTCCACACGCAAAACCTACGAATCTAATTGGCAGCGTTGGAGCCGCTGGTGTTCTACAAGGCAAATTAATCCAATTTCATCAACTTTGAGCAACGTCCTTACCTTTTTGGCGGACTCACTCGCCTCCGGTTTGGAATATAGAACCATGAATGTTCTGAGATCGGCTTTGTCATCAACCCATCCACGAATCGACGGTTATCTAGTCGGACAACATCCATATGTTGTTAACCTGATGAGAGGTGTTCTAAACAATCGACCTCCAAAACCCAGATCCCCAACGTTCACCTTGTTGACTACAAAGACAACTCGTTTTATACTTGTTTCCCAGATGACAAAAGGTTATGTCTGATAGCTTGTTTCCAACATTACATCTCAATGACGGTTGAATTTAGAAGAATTATGAAGGACCAACCTAAGTTGTGTCTTTCATTTATTATACCTCACCGAAACAATTTTATTATAGACCAATGGTATCAACACCAAACTTTGGTCGTGTTGGGTTAAACTAATTGTAAACAGGTCTTTAGACTTATTGTATCTACAGAGCTAAATAATAAAGTTCTTTTTGGCGGTTCACCATTGTAGTGTTAAACTCTACCGCTAGTATTCTCATATATTTCGACCGGAGTTCCCGAAATATAATTCGACTTATACTAGGGCTGTTCCAGCCTGCAGGTATAATTTAGGTTATATGAGGGAACGAAGGGAGAAATATATGATTCCCACCCTTATACCCGCCCAGTTCATCTCAGGGTTAAATAAGCCACAGGAGGATTATGGGACGGGTCAGATCAGGGGGGTGTTGGGGTTTTTACCAGAGATTTCTTTGGGTTAAAATGTGATGTGAAGCACAGATTGGTAATGCCATACCGCTAGTATTCTCATATATTTCTCCTTTCGTTCCCTCATATAACCTAAATTATACCTGCAGGCTGGAACAGCCCTAGTATAATTCGAATTTTTCTTCATTTTAAAAGAGCAAAAAACGAAATAAACTTAATTTATTTCATGTAAACCTGATTTCCTTCATCTAATCGATCTGTCTACTGCATTTACCCACTGTATGTGTGAGTAAATCTGTATTTTTCGTTGCGAATTCAGCAACTAATTTCAAACTTTTTTTGTTTTTTGAACAAATCTGTATTTTTATAAATTGGGAATTTGTTTTTGCTTTAGTTGTTTCGCTTTTTTGTTTTTATGGTGCTTTTCAGTTTTCACACCATTATTTGGCTTATTTTACTCCGTTTTCCTGATTTAAAACTGATTTTTAACTGCAGTTTTCGAGGCAGTTTTTAGCCAATTTAATTCCATACATGTAAGAAAATTTTGTTTTTTTATTTTTTACTCGCTGGGGCACTGTGCCCCGGGCGAGTATAGGTTTCGGCTTCAATCTCCAATCTCCAATCTCCGATCGTCGATAGCCACAAAATAGAATATTAATGAGCTGCTTGATCCTTCAAAATGGCGGGGACTTTCGTTGAGTGGGCAAAATGTTTTCAACAATTTCGTGAAAATTTTGAACCAATTGTACCTGTTTTCTATGGATTTTGGATTGTGTGTAGCTGTGGACATTCCTGCTAGTTTATTTAATGCGTTTTACTTGGTGCACGGCTCTGAAAATCCGAAATTTGGATCGTGGAATTCCCGTGCACGATCATAATATACTGAATCTGAATATAAACGATCCAAAGACAATTTCAAGGTGAAATGTTATAACTTAAACTGCACAACGTAGTTTTAATAAATAACTACATATTACATATTTAATGACTTTGGGACCTTAGCTAACATGTGCCCAAACCGTTTTTAAAATATCAAAATCCTTCCCCTACTTTTGAGGATTTTAATATGCATTATCTTATTTTTGTTACCCGTTTCCATGGCAACCAATATGGCATTTTTTGTTTGTTTGCCACTTTAACTTGATTGTCCGCTTGCCAGCGTTTCGAAAGCAAGTGATTTACATAGTACCCTTTGTTGTGTACTACATAAAGTATTGGTGCTGTTATAATTTGGTGATTGCTGGCGCTCATTGCCATGCCAAAATTGTGATCAAAATTTTCAACGGAAATGCTATTTTCGAACGTGAAAAGAAGTCAAATTCTTCGCTCTTTAATCTTTGCTTTTTAACATAAACAAATGGTTGGACAAAGCTCCAGATCTTTATATAAAAGAAAGAGGAAAGGGACTGTTTGTCTGTTTCGGGGCGTCAAAGATACAAGAAAGACGAGGCTTTAAATTCATCACGTAGTGACGTATCAGACATCTCAAACAGGCGAAGTTGATGGTGAAAATATCGTTGGAACCTCAATGAAGAAAGTGCGAGGTGACAGTAAGAATGCAGAGTCCGAGTTTACGATTGAGAATCCTTAAAACTGTCAAGAATTCTGGGTTATTAGCAATTTAGCCTGAACTGTTTGTCCACAGGCCACAGCTGTGTCAAGAATGCAACACATTTGTCAAGGGCTATTAGTAAAACACGGAGCACGGAGCACACGGAGCACGGAGTACGGAGCACACGGAGCACGGAGCACACGGAGCACGGAGCACGGAGCACACGAACTACGGAGCAGTAGAAAAACGAAAATCCTTTATAATAAAATACACTGTTTACTATTACAAATTTTTGTTCTTATTAATAAAGTTTCTTCGCGTTTTACACGTTGAGGAAGTAGAAAAATGGGCTTTTACTGCACATATGATGCAAAACTGCCAAAAGCCATAGTATTTAAAATAGGATTGTGCCTGTGAAACTCGTCACATATCTATCAAGCTTATGAGTTATGTAGTTATATTATATTTCGATGGCCAACGCATTAAGAAACACTTAGAGAACAGCCGATATATTTCGTTACCCCTGCCAAAAAATAGCCAAGTACTCATCTTTCAATGTAGCGGATCGACTGAACATTATAAAAGCTTGTCATGGAGAGAAGTGAATTTTCGGTTTATCCTTCGTCCCAGTGACCAGTGAGCAGTGTGCTGTAAGGCCTACGCCGGTTTAAACCGTTATACATAATTACTGCTTTCATTCTTTCAATCCGTTTTGAATAATCGGAATTATTCACTATTATAATATTATAAAACTGTATAAGATAGCTGTAGAACTATAAATGCTGTAGAATAAAATAAATAAAGAAAACTACGTTTTATCGCGGTATTTGCCGATAAAGGACATGCAGAACATGTACGAAATCCATACAGAAGTGTGTGTGTATTCTATACTTTTGAAACAACTAAATCAGACTTCGGAAAATTTGACAGTATTAAAGCTACTTTTGAGAATTTAGATTTTAGGTCTTTGTTTTACATGTACCAAGTAAATATTTTTGAGTTTTGAACTTTGATTCTCACAAGCTTACAATTTGTTTACAATTTACTCTGCCTCTGGCTCTGCCGTGCTGCACGGCAGAGTTGATCGGAATTGTAACAAATACGCGTACACTTAAATGGCTTCCTGAATTTAGTCAATATGTGTAAAAATTACTCGTTTCAATTTTATGTTTATGCTCGAAACTGCTCATGTTTACAATAGCAATTCTAACAATCTTGCCCTCCTTTTCGCCTTTGAGGCGTTGGTGTTGATTTATACACAAAATTCAAAACTCAAAAATATTTACTGGTCTGGGTACATGTAAAACGAAGACCTAAAATCTAAATTCCCAAAAGCAGCTTTAATACGGTCAAATTTTCCGAAGTCTGATTTAGTTGTTTCAAAAGTATTGAATACACACACACTTCTGTATGGATTTCGTACATGTTCTACATGTCGTACAGTAAAAATACAAAAATTGTCCCACTTCCGCGGTTTGTTGTGATTTTAATACTGTAATTTGTTCTGTTTTTCTGTAGCGATTACCGATTTATCGGCAAATACCGCGATTTGAAAACTTACTTTTCTTTATTTATTTCATTCTACAGCATTTATAGTTCTACAGCTATCTTATACAGTTTTATAATATTGTGAATGATTCCGAATATTCAAAACGAATTGAAAGAATGAAAGCAGTAATGATGTACTGTATAACGGTTTAAACTTAGCCGGCCGTACAGCTCACTGCCACCGGTCACTGAGCCGAAGGATAAACCGAAAATTCACTTTTCTCATCACAAGATTTAATGTTCAGTCGATCCGCTACATTGAAAGATGAGTATACTTGGCTATTTTTTGGCAGGGGTAACGAAATATATCGGCTGTTCTCTACAGTAAGTGTTTCTTTATGTGTTGCCCATCGGAATATAATATAACTACATAAGCTTGATAGATGTAAGATAACGAGTTTCACAATCCCATTTTAAATACTATGGCTTTTGGCAGCCTGGTTTTGCATCATATGTGTTTTTCAGTAAAAGCCCCATTTTCCTACTTCCCCAACGTGTAATACGCGAAAAAACTTTGTTAATAATAACAAAAATTTGTAATACCTTATTATAAAGGATTTTCGTTTTTCTACTGCTCCGTACTTCGTGTGCTCCGTGCTCCGTGTGCTCCGTACTCCGTGTGCTCCGTGCTCCGTGTGCTCCGTGCTCCGTGTTTTACTAATAGCCTTTGTCAAGTGATTTGTGCTGTTCAAAGGTAAAATTCCCTTCAAAAGTTTTTTTATGTTTTCAATCCAGTTACCTTTTAATATAAGTTTATAATTGATAAGTTGTATTCAAACAAAAGTATATATGCATTATATTTATCCTTTGTATTAATTTTAATTATTTGTAGATTGTGTTAATAATTTAATATATTCCTGAGATGATACTCAGTTCTTTGACCCTGTCAGAATTAAGGAAATATGACTCTTGAAGACGTCCCTGAAAAACGTTCTGGTCTCATGAAAGAGTTTGCGTTGGGATGTGATTCATGTAATGAGTCAAGCAGTTTCACATAATTGGTCAAATATGCTGCTACTCGGGGAAGGTGTGCTGTTTATCACTCAGTGGAGACTGGCAGTGATTACGAAGGTCTGGCGTCTTGTTGCAGCATTTTTAACATGCCTTGTATTTCTAGGCCTGCTTACTACAAGCAAGTTGAAGGCATCATGGGATCACTTGAAGAAAAAGCAAACGTTCCAAGAGATGAAGCAAGATAACTGATCAAGCGAAGAAGTCTGATTTGCATGCCACTGATAAGGAAAAGAGACGACGCCTATTGCGCACCAGAAGGGAAGAGGCCCTCCGCAATACTGAAGGAGTGACATATGAGGCAGCAGCTTTCTAGCTACTTCTCACAAGGATCTTATAGGTTATTTGAACTTACAAAGACCTTAAACTTTGTAAGATGATGAAATATTTAACATTAACCAGTAACAAAAACTGTAAACTCCATTTTCTCATTTCGCACTATTTCAGCGGTCGAGAAAAGATATCTTGAGTAGATTACAATGGATTTGGCTAAAATTTTTAGTGATTGTTCCACTCAGTCAACTTTGTGTTTTAAATTAAGCAGAGGAATTTGTTCCATGGCAAATATTTTGAAAGTTATGGCAGTTTCAATATTTTATAATTCGGTGCTAAAATCTGATTGGCCATAACTTTTTCATTATTTAATGTATCTAAATTCTCTCTGCTTAAAACAGTAAACCCTATATGTTAGTTAATTTAAGATATAAAAGAGCCAAATCATTCAAATACAGAATGTGCAATCCTTTCTTGAATATAGCCTAGTCACAAATTTGGCAATCGGCCCAGAGCCACCTTAATATGGCTTCTTGTGTGCAGTAAATAGCTTTTTTAGATTCCTCAGGGCATAAGCTTTCTGCCAATATATAGTTTGTGGGGGTTTTGATGTAAACTTAGTGAACTATGACGTTTTTCCTTACACCATATATTTAAGGTTAACTCCCCCCTTTGTCCGACCTTGTATTTGACCTTGTATTTGTAATGCCTAAGGCCCGTTTCATACGCCGTACTTCACATGTGCCGAATACATTAAAGACAATAGGTAATGAACTGAAATGCCTCATTATCTATTGTTTTTAATGTATTCGGTACATGTGAAGTACGGCGTATGAAACGGGCCTAATGCACCTATCATTGTTTTCCCCCTGAGGGGGGGGTGCGGGCGACCCAGGGGACTTTGACCACACTATGAAGCCCTAGTGAGGGGAATTTGACCTATGCATCAACTCCCATAGTCGGGAAATTTTGACATCCGCCATCTTGAAAGTTTGCGCGGTTTTGACATTGAAAGGCCTGGTAACAAGTATGGCGGGAAGCACGATCAAGTTTCATCGAAAAAGGTATTTTATAGCCTTTTATACACAGTGTCTCAATTTTTACCAAGTTTGAACCAGTATGGACTGTATGTTCGCATTGGAAAACATTTGACCTTAGGAATATAGTGGGGAATTTTGACAGCCATTCCTTGCCCAACCGTGGGGATTTTGACAACAAAATTTGAAAAATGTCAAAATTCCCGTGGGTTGCCCGCACCCCCTCAGGGGGAAAACATTGATAGGTGCATAATAGTAATAAGTAATGGCGGATAAAAATATAAGAAATTGTACTTATAAGAAATTGTACTCAACGTAAGAAATTGTACTTATATATGAATGAGAAATTGTACCTACGGGTTTCAACTGTATTACTAAACAACTGACAACAGTATTCTAGCGATTTATGGCGTTTGTCTTTGAAAGCCAAGCGAAATTGTATTATTTGTTGACAAATCGCTCAAACCTAAAATTATATAAAATGCAATATGGTTGACCCTTGATAACTTTGGTATCGTTGGTTTTCTCTTTTTCGGCCGTATACCAGTGGATTCGTCTCACTTCTCTCTTCATTTTGATAATATTTCGAGCCCAAAAGCCCAAAAATATTTTAGTTTGGACGTTTTAAACTTGCGGCCAACAGAAGAATGTAGCGTACTACAAAACACGACTCCAAGCTATGTAACTTTATCGCTAGCCTGCGAACAGGCTCTCAAGCTGAATTGAGAGCCTGCATCGATGACTAATGAATTTGAATATCTGCGTCTCAAATCGTGACGCGAAATTCTCATTGGTCAGATGCTATAATTTATCAGTAATTTATATTATTCCGCTGAGCTCTATATATGTCAAGTGCTGAACTATGCATAAAAGACGCATTATCTGATCAAATTGATCTTGGCTATCTTATCTCAAAGCACGAAATGTTTCTGTTTTGAGAAAACAGTATTTAAAACATTTGAATATTTGCTTGAATATCTTATATTTTGAAAAACAGTATAAACTGTACGGTCTAAATTTAGTTTGCACGGTCTAAATTTAGTTTGCACGAAAGTTGTAAACAACACCATATAAGGATAGACATTCCATATTTAGAAAAACGAACGTTACGGGGCAGATATTCAAATTCATTAGTCATCGATGCAGGCTCTCAATTCAGCTTGAGAGCCTGTTCGCAGGCCACTTTATCGCCTGAATTTTGAATAAATCCGCAATTAAATTGCTGGTAATGTAGATGCTTTCCATACATGAGATGTTAGTGAAGTTTTTCCAACAATTTAATTTCCTTGATCGCCGTCTTAAAAATGCAAAATCATAAGTTGAAATTTCACTCGTGTTGTTTTTTTCAAATTTTCGAATTATTGTAAAATATCGCGTGCGCCAGCAATTTTTCTGCACAGCGACAACAAATTTCCCAGCTGTTCGAAAAAAGACGTTTCAAGGAAAATACGGAATCAAGGAAATCTAAGGAATTTTTGAAAATTCTAAGGAAATTTAAGGAATTTTTGAGTCAACTAAAATGCTCAGAAGATTCTTTCAGGAACCTTTTGATTAATTTTAAATTATATTACTTTCCTTCGCTCATAACCATTATGTCCGCGTGCAAAAATAAAAAAAACTCTTTAGGAGCCTGTGACCGAGTCAGTAGAATCTAGAATTATTAATTAAGCTAATTATAAGTAGGCTGCACACAACCTGAATTTTAGGCGGAAATCAGGTAGCGTGCTACGTGCAGGCGAATTTATATGAATTTATTTGTCATGTGAATTTGTTGACTATTGAGAACAATATTAAAACTCTAGTATTTTACATTTTAAAGCTTTCAAAATTGTTGTGTAAAGGCTTTGTTTCTAAGAGTTGTACGAAATAAATGTACCATTCTGTTTCTGTCTTATTTTAGATAAGTATTGATGAATTCTAGTTGCCGAAATATACTTCGGTTAAATCAAGGAAATTTCAAGGAAATTACATCCCATTTCAAGGAAATTTTAAAGCAAAATCAAGGAAATTTGAATGATGCTTGTGGAAACACTGCTTGGTCATTTCTGAATACTTCATGTTTAATGTTGGCGAGGGATTACTGCATGCATATATTTCTAGTCTAAAGCCAGGCGCACACACTGCGATTTTAGTCGGCCGATTTAAGGTTTAGGTGTATGATATTGGCAAATCTGGCGCTGTAGATGAGCCCACAGATCCTATCACTGATTGCTTTTGCTGAAAACATCCATCTAAACCTGAATCGGCCGACTAAAATCGCAGTGTGTGCGCCTGGCTTAAGCATAATCATAGCTGATAAGGCAGTATCGCATATTGCATGCGGACACAGTATACTTTTCCTATAAACATTTCTATAATTTTTAATCATCCTTTCTCACCTTCACGTTCAGGTATGTAACGAATATTTTCAAGGCTTTATTTTATCATTTTCATACGTCATTTGTAAAAAATAGAAGAATAGCTGCTATACAGGGAATTGATAAATTATAGGCGGGTCACGTTTACACTTTATCCTTTGATATTATTAATTGTTTACCCATGCAAACTTTATAATGACATATATAAATGATTTTCATCAGCAAGTTTTCAATCCGAAAGTTGTACATTCCGTATCGAATAGGTGATATTTCGCGCCGCTACGGGAAGCAATCCGTTACAGTGTAAACGTGGGCTTAGTTTTTTTTATTTACTTTTTTGCACAGGGATACGCTATCAAGCAGTTACATCTCAGTTTTTATGGCTGCTAACCAAAGCAATCAGACGTTGTTCGCAATTGAATTGGAGAAAAATCCATTGTGGTACACAACAATGTGTTTAATAATTTTGATAATTATTGTAGCAACTTTGGGAAACGTCATGGTTTTGGCTGCGACGTGGATGGAAAGAAGTACCCATCAACCAAGCAAATATTTTATTGCTTGTTTGGCAGTCGCTGATCTTTTGATTGGAGTTTTATTTGGCCCCTTTCATTTGTACAACCACGTTCATGACTTGAAAAAATAGAGGCAGATGCGCGGCCAGGATGAAACATAATAATAAAATAGACGTTCTCTGACCAAAAATATATATTTATTACAAGCTTTCGGCTACCAATCTGTAGCCTTCAACGTGTATGAGTGTATCCGTTGAAGGCTACAGATTGGTAGCCGAAAGCTTGTAATAAATATATATTTTTGGTCAGAGAACGTCTATTTTGTTATCACGTTCATGAAGCTGGCATTACCTCGATACATCTTTGCCGATATTACATTTGGATTAATGTGCTTGCAGAGTCAGCATCGATTGATACACTGACGTTGATAAGTGTCGATCGATATCTGAAAATCAGCCAGCCACTTCGGTATAACTTGCTGATGACAACTTCGAAATCATTCATTCTGATTGTCGTAATTTGGTTGATCTCCATTGCGTACGCTACATTTGCAATGTTCTCTTTTGAAAGAAGCCGTGGCATCCATATTACTCTTCATGGATGCACCAATCATAATGACGTATTTTTTACAGTTGTTGCGATATCTGCATTTTTCCTTCCAACCTTCATAATACTGATCATGTACACCCGTATACTTATTGTTGCTCATAAACGACGAAAAGCGGCACGAAATGGCCAATTGGGTCAAACCAACCAAATTTCAACACGACGAACTTCCTTTCATCAGGATCTCAAAAATATCCGCATGATGGCCATTGTCGTGGGGGCGTTTATCATTTGCTGGGGTCCTTTCTTCATTTTCACGATCCTTTCTATTTACAATCCACAATCCATTCAATTCATTGTCCAAAGTGATGTGGCAAAAGCTTTAGTAGCAGATATTCTGCCATTGTTAAACAGTGTTTGTAATCTAATAATTTATGCATGTTTTGATGAAAGGTACAGAATGGCTTTTAAACGCCTGTTTAAGAAAATGTGTCCATGAACTGAAGGAATATTTCTATTACACAAACATAACAAAAGAGGACATCATGCAATTCCTCCTAGATGCACTCCAGACGCGTTGTTAAGCCTTTTTAAACCAGTGGTTAATAAACATTCTAGTTTCATATTAATCTGACACTGCAATCGACCAACGAAAAATTCGTTGGCTCGAGCGGGATTTGAACTCGCATCTTCGGGTATCTAGACCGCCGCTCTACATATTGAGCTATAGAGTGGGATTGGTAGCGACTCTTATCCAATTTTAGTGCACGAAATTGCACGAAATACTAACTCGATAGCTCAAACTCGATAGCTTAATAGGTAGAGCAGCGGTCTAGATACCCGAAGATTCGAGTTCAAATCCCGTTCGAACCAACGAATTTTTCGTTGGTCGATTGCAGTGATTTACCTTTCAGAATAATTTTGTGATCGAGATACCAGAAGATGCCAAACTACTCATGATCATACTAACATGAAGTTTCCAAAATGTTTGAGGAATTTTCAGTTAGTAGACATTTTAGAACTGTGCATTTTTTTATGCGCCCTGTATATATTTTATGGAAAATGTTCTGGTGAAGCCACTCAATCTGAAAGTTTTTCTATGCTGACGAAGAATCAGTGCATGGGACGAACTATTAGCACAACACACAGCCTTTATACTACTAAGGTAATCAATCAATCGCATGGAAAAATAATAATAATAATAGTAACGATAACGTGTACGTACTATTAAAATTCAAAACATTCGCTAAGTGCAGGCAATGAATTGACAGATCATGGGTGAAACGAAAGAGAATCGCTCAATTGAGAATGCGGGTAAGTAGTGTGAGTTTAAAAATGACCCACTGTCCATATTTTGGAGGATATAATTTCGCCAGTGGCATAGGATGAACAGCACTAACATTTATATCAGAACAAGGACGCTGGAGCGACGGGGCCAGCACGGGCTGCCGCCTCCGTTGCCCAGACAACAGAGAGTTTGGCAAATACAACGACAACGTGCTCAGTCATCAACAATAACATCTATACCATAGAAATATTAGACCTAGAATGCGTGCTTGGTCACGTGACCGGTGTCCAAATTGAAAACAAAGATGCCCTTAAAAATCTGCCATGTTGAATTTGAGTAGGAGTGCAAACTACCAAGTATAAACATACAGTAGCTAAAACTAAGTTTTCATTAACACAACGTTCTGTCTTGCTGTCTAAATTGTAGTTTGAGGATAGATTTTTAAATATTAAGTGCTCAAAGCAAATATTCATGCGCAGTTACGAAAACTGTGAAAATCGTGTAGCTTTGTAAAAACAAAGTATATAGTTTCGCGTAAATATAATTTACTCATAAAACATTTTTGCATGCTCCGAACGTATTAAACTGTTTTGCTAATATCTTATGAAATTACGAAATGATATGGATAGTTCATTCTTCGTCGGGTTTCGTTTTTCTTCAATCTAAACGAAGTGTTTTCATGTTGTTGAAACAAAAATATTTAGTTGTCGATAAACTGTAAATCGTCTAAATTATCTTCGAAAAGATTCATGCGTGATCGCACAAATTTCTCTCGCCTTGAACAATATGGCTTTGCCTTTAATATTTAGTTTAAATACGCTATTAGACTTAGTTCGATATGAATAAACACAAATATAAAACCTTGCGGAACCTGTTTATGCACAAAAGTGATATAGTTTCATAAATAGGTTTTTTCGTGCTTTTTCCGCTTTCACGGTAAAATTAGGAAAGGTGCATGCGTAGGGTTGAAAAGTGTGTAATGAGCAAAGGTGTGCATTTGCGGAAAAGGAGTGTAAAATAGCACATTATTAATAAGTACAAAGGTGTGTAATTTTACACACCAATGATGTGTAATCGTACACACCTGAGGCGTGTAATTTTGTATACAAGGTGTATACATTGAACTAGATTCTGTTCCGAAATATCACATACTCGAACCGACCAGACTGCGTAGCTCAGTTGGCAGAGCATTGGGCTAGTATTCCAAAGATCGTAGGTTCGATTCCCATGCACCGTGGTCAGGCATATATTTCAAGCTTGCCCGGTGTGGATATACACTCAGAGTAACATAACAAACATCATATTCACCTGCCGTACATTACACCAACACAGAAAAAAAGAAGTAAGAAGTTTTCAGTTTTCCCGACTGCATAGTGATTTACTTTCGCCTCGGCCGGTTATACAAAACTCAAATGCCATATCGACGTACGAGCTGTGATGTTTCCTGACTAATAATATACATAAAGATATTGCTCGACTGTGATTGGTTGATTTCAGTGCAGTTAATCCCAAAGAGCAGTGCAATTTTCTGTAATCATAGTGCAATTCTTTGTAATCACAGTGCAAAAATCTGTAACAAACTGATCTGATTGTTGGAAAAACATTGTGATGATTAAATCAACCAATCACTTTAAAGCAGTTTAGTTTAAAGAAGTAACGGTCACAGATTGCTTCAAAACAAAACAAACATGGCGCCACACTACACAAAGTAAAAGTTGCCTTCGCGTGGAAAATATGGCTTTTACTGTATCTTTATTTTTAAATGGAAAAGCATTGACCTTACACAAGACTAACAAAAATTACATAGTTGAGTGGAATTTTTAAGCTGTTAGCGTTGTATAATGTGATATAACAAAGCCAGGAAAATTTTGCCAGTGGAATGTTCGTTATAAACGCGTAAGTTAAAACTACAATTGTCTCGAACATTTTCATGTAAATTATTAATAAGTAATAGCATGGTTTCTCGTGGAATTTGGATAAACATGCACTCGTGAGTTTTTGAAAGACCTCAAATAGCACTCGTCCTTCGGACTCGTGCTATTTTGAGGTCTTTGAAAAACTCACTCGTGCATGTTATATCCAATTCAAATTGCACTCGAAACCATGCTATTACCTATACAAAACAAAAAACTTCTACTATTATTAAGCTGTAGTTTTCCTTCATGTATACAGCATAACATAATGTGGTGCAGATGTCTAATGAAATACTACGTTCATTGCATTGTAGTGTTACTTTAATTTACAACATTTTATATACTGACGTAAATAAAAACGTCTATAAAACGAATCTGATTCGTCGAAACAATAAACAAACTTATGTGTGGTTTCAAAGTCATAATCCAAAATTGAACCAATAAAGTATCTAAAGAAAAAGCACAAAAATTACTGAAAATATATGCATCAAACTGTGGAATTTGACATTTTTATTATCTGTAGCAGTAAATATACGGATTCGACACCAACAGTTATCGTTCAGAAGCAATGCTTGCCTGCAAATTTTATCCCCTTCATAATCTTTGTTTCATTTTATCACGTATATCATCGCAATTTTCAAGTATTCGGGGTATTCTGAAACTGTAAAATTCGGTGGCGTGACAAGCGAGTCTTGTACCGACTACATCCGGCCAGGGCTTACATTTATAAATTAGTAGTTTCATTTAATTGTTTGTCTTGTTTCACGTACCCCACACTACACCATCGCATCGCCAAATTGTTATTTTACCCACGCGTAATGCAAATAATTATATACAAAATTTGCGAACTTCACAGGGCAATTTTACTCATTTTAAGATGCTCTTTCCAGCTATGGTAATGGATTTCGTTCTTCTTGTCTAGATCAAAATTCCGTCTGCAACTGGAATCATCCATTCTCGTCTGTACACGTAGAATAATAATATGCATATCATTAATATTCACAGACAAATTATCAACAGAGTAATTATTAACAATTTAATCAAAATTTAATGGTTAGTCGCTGGTATTAGTAAGCTGAAACCCTCAGTTGCCAACCAATAATTAATTTCTTCACCATGGGCGTACCGGAAGGAAAAAATTAGGGGGGCGGAAAGAAAATTGCCCGACTTTTCGTAAAATTGTCCTACTTTTCGTGATTTTGCCCGACTAAAACCTAAAATTTTTTCCCGGAATTTTTTTTTTTGCGACCCCCCCCCGTCGCCAAAAAAAATTCGGTCAGTGTACCATTTAAGAGGTCAAAAAAATTTTCCGGACATACCAAAAAACTACATTTGCCGCAAAATTGGCTAAATTTTCGAAAAAAATGACACAATTTGTCCGATTTTTTTTCATAACAACCTAAAATTGCCCGACTGTTAATCGAATATTGCCCGACTGCCCAAAAAACTGGGGGGGCTACCGCCCCCCGCCCCCCCGCCCGGTACGCCTATGTTCTTCACGCACTTAAGCATTTTGCTGAACAAATGTTTAAAAATATTGATTGTTTGCACATAATCCCCGAGCCAACGGCGCGGAGCGCCGTTCCCGGCGTAAGCCCGGCGGGAGGGTACTAATTCCGCCTGGCTATTTACGCCCGAGGAAAGGAAAGCACTAGCGAAGTCTAAAGTTCATCAACAATCGCGGGCGCATGGCTATGGTTCACCGTTCATGGGTGCATGTCATCCTCACTTATCTCAAAATATGTAGCCGACTGTTGTGAATAGCGAACACTGATTGGTCAAATTTCATCACAACGACTGCATGACGACAACGAAATAACAAACATTTCTTGCAAATATATTGTATTTTTCCAAGATTTTGTAAGATATCAGTTTTATCAGATTTGTAAGATCAGTTGCGTTTGTTACTTTAGTGCAAGTATACCCGCCAAAGTATAAAACGACGCGATAAAAACTGGATAAAAAGCCGTTAGTTTCAATTCATGTTTTTCCAATGATAGATACTTTTCCACTCAACAATACAGAACGTAAAATCATTAAAGTTATTTGTGTTCCGGATTGTTTTTACATTATGAACATGCTTGAAAAATACTTAAATGATTAAAAGCGACCATTCAGTGCGTTCAGTTCAATCACTAAAACATGCACGCCTGTATATAGCAAAATTTCTTTAAGGAAAATGAGTTTTGGGGGAACTTCAAACTTGATCATATAATGTTACGAATATTGGCAAATAAGGCAAGCCCACGGCGACGGTACTAAAGGAAAGGAAAAGAAAGCGTAAAGTTCATCAATAATCGCGGGCGCGTGGCTTCGTCTCATCGTCCGTGGGTGATCATCCTGACTGATATAAAAATGGGCTGTATTGTTGATATCAGTTTGAAGAATGGTAATTTGCACAGAATTTCAGTAAAAATTGATAACGTTTGTTTCCAACATAAAGTAGTAAACAAAACTCATGCAGAGGATTAACTCGTGCCAGGCAGTAGAACTGGTATACCGGAACAAGGTTTCAAAAACAGAATGAAATTTGTGAAAGTCTAGTTAAACAACGTTTTTAATATAACCTACTAAAACCATATCATAACAAATTTGATAACATTTTTGAAGGATCAAGGGTATACATATAAATTTAGAGGGTCAAGAGTTTAAATTTAATACTCCAGCATGCACTCTTCAATATCCTGTTATATATCATACAACTTGTGCATGGCATTATGTTGCATTTTATAACGACTGTAGACGGAGAATACTTTTTAATTCTGAATTTTAACAAATTATTTTGTATTTGCAATTACAATATTTGCAATTACGTTTGCAATCTCCGCACCCCGCAGTTAAATACCTGTGTCTCAGTTCAAACACGCAAAGAATATGCAGTACATTATTTCTACTACAAAGGATGAAGATAAACGAAACATTATAGTTTGCCAAATTAAGACTGTACTCGGTGCGTCGAAAGATGAAAGAGGAAAAACCTCCTCACAATAGGCGCGTTGTAGCATCTTCACTTGTAAATGGTACCTACTCACATGTGTCTGAGTTCAAAGAATATATTATGAATAATTTTAGTACGCTATCTTGTAAAATTCAAGGGAAACCTCTTTAAAATCATAGTAACCAGGAATGAATTAACAGTATCTATAAATAGGCTATAATAAATTGCCCGACGCTCGCTTCTATAAGACGCGGCCACTTTGAATTATTTTGTACGGGTGACTAGTGGGATGTCGTATTGGTTCCTGGAATGCTGAATCAAACAGTTTCACGCCCAAATGAAATGCGTGATAATTGAAAATAAGCTTTGGATAACTGCATATAGCAAAATTGCAGTTTTGGATACCATACTAGCACAATTGTACTATAATCAAACTCAAAGAACTTCATAAATGCCATTTTGCATGCAATAACATATAGACATAGTTTCGTAAATGAATTTTGGAGAATATCACACCTCATAAACTCTGTGTCTTCAAGTTAATTGACTCAAGAAATTGAGCTTAGATGGTAAGCTTAGAACGATGTAAGTTTTTGATATTATATAAGTGCTTGGAAACGAAGGCATCACAATCATGTCAAGATATCGTGATAACGAAGCAGTGAAAAGTAGACATATATATTACCTATATATATCATATATAGGTTATCCAATATCCAATTTTCTCTAGTGGGGGAATATTCACAAAATACTGAGGGTTCCAATAGCCAGCCACCCGTGCATAATTGTTGCAATTGTCATCCCTGTTCACTGAATATATCACAGACAAGTTCCTTACCAATAAATTCGTCCTCATAACGACGAAGGAAGTTGCATGACAAAAACTCCACCAACAACACAATCAGTATAGGCCTACTACCATGAGGCTCACTTGCAGCGACTTATATAAACCAGCTAAAATAGAATTTTAGTTTAAAAAGTCAAATAAGAATTTATCTATATAATTTAATATTATATAGGATGAGTGCTTGCAAGTAACAAGAGACTATTTTTATGAATGGCCTATCTCCCAGATACACCGGTCGTGCCCTTTTCAGTAAGATCATGCAGGAATTCTCAAAAAAATTTTGACCGCGTGATAGCTTCAGCAAATATAAAATTTATTAAAATTCTTCTGAAAAAAGTGGGCATAACTACGATACACTCTTAATTTAAACTGTAAAAGCGCGAATTTAAATTTAAATTGCATGTGTATATAAGGCGAATTAATTTCGATTCATCTTAATTGGGCAGTAGCTACATAACAATTTACTAGATATATGTCGGGCGTATACTTTAAAAGCGCATGCAAGCATGTATAAGTTAAGGTTGCGTGTGCAATTGGTGCGTTATAAGCTTCCAATCAATGCATGCTTAATTTGATCAATTTGTTCAACTTGATCAATCTGTTCACTTCTCCAGCGGTAATTCACTCAATTACATGTAGCCTTTCTCACGATAACGAATATCCGCCAGTTTTGGGTGGCACCTAATTCTCTTTAACTAATGCAAACAATTAAAACAATGTGAAAAGCAATTTTTCAAAATAAACTAACCGTTTATGCATGTATACAAAGCAAATTTACTATCATGCATTCGTCCAAAAAATTATAAAAAGTCGTTGTTATGCATGTCGACGTTATTAATATTTCACGAGATTCACGCGATTAATTACGCGCAGTATAGTTATTACATTTAATATTTTCTTTAGATCAAAATGAGCTGATTTTTTTTTGAAAGGATAAAACAGAAAAATATGACTTGAAACGATCGCGTAAAATGCCAGACTTTTAAGCATACGCTGAATATGCGATTTGAAATAAAAAAGAATTCGCAAATCTAAAATTCGTATTTTGAAATTCTACTAGGGAGCAAAAATTTCAATTACAATTATGCCCGTATATTCTATTGTGTTTCCATCATTTTGTAAACACGCACAACCAAAATTTTAGGCACAGCTGAATATATGCATAATGTAAAACGTAATTTAGTTATTTCACAAGTCAGGTTATTTCCACCTGTATAGGCCAGCCTTCTTTTAACAGCAAAATTCTTTAACGACAAAATGCTTTTAAATTAACGGTAAAATGCTTTTAACGGTCCTTATAATCAGCCTGCCTGATATAAAAAGGCGATTTGAAGCTATAATGATAGTGACAGTCTTTACACCTATTTTTTATCTATTTGAAAAAACGACTTGGAAAATCAAAAAAGTACTTTAATGTTCTATAGACAGGTTTTTGTGTACGTTTCAACCAAGCATACAACTTATTTACCTTGGAATTTTAAAATTTCTATCAGAAATAGAAATCTATATTAAAGTGTAAAAATGTTTAGTCATACTTGTGTCAAAGTCTACACATACTGTCAATATGATGCTCTCTTCACTAACTGCATGCACAATTATTGCCAAATTGTGCGCTTATTCGCCCAACTAATAAGCTGATTTCAACACGTCTTTTCTTAAAGATTAAGTCAAGTCTGTTCTGCGCACGTGCTATGTGAGAGGCCTCTGGTATAAACAATACCCAAATTTCGCGTTCTTTCGACATTCAAAATTACTTGAGTTGACAAGATAGAAAATGGCCTCCAGAGTGATAGATATTTTCATTTTCATTACTTATACGTAACAAATAACTACTTTACAACGTTTATTAAAACGAAATGTGCGTTTTTAATAGCCAAAACGTTTTTGATAGTTTTAATAGTTTTTAATAGTCAATGATAAATAACAGTTAAGATATATACATCAGTTTATTACGTGAATTCTACCTGGCTGCAACTTTAATAGCTATATTTCGCCAGAATAGCTTTACTATCAAAGATATTTTTGTCTGTGACGTTGCATTCCAGAAATGTTGCCATTCCTTCACCGAATTTATCTTCAAATTCTTTTTGGACGTTTTTCCCTTCATTAACATCAACATCAACAAAATATACCTGCATAGACATTAAAAACTGCGTTGTCAAGAAGTTTCAAGAGGAATACGAGGGACTTTTTTATATGACTACAAGTAACATGGGAACGTTATTAAGTGGAAAACTAGATGACCCACAGGAGAAATTGCCTGGGAACGGAAATATCTGGGTTAGTTGATGTCAAGATCAAAATAAAACGTTTTAAGGCATGTTACATTTGTTATTAGTTTAGAAAACACGACGCGAACTGAAAGACGCGCTTTAGAAACAAATATATTCTTCATGCAAAACAAATCGTTTGAATATTTTGTGATCCCAGGGATATCCCCAACAGGAATAGAAAAAACCCAACTTTCTGTGACCGCAAGAAAACAGGGAAACATTTTCTGCGAATAATCAAGTAAATCGACACTCGGGCGCTAAAATTATGTTACACTATTAATAATATACATAAAGATATTACTCGACTGTGATTGGTTGATTTCAGTGCAGTTAATCCCAAACAGCAGTGCCATTTTCTGTAATCACAGTGCAATTTTCTGTAATCACAGTGCAATTTTCTGTAATCACAGAACAAAAATCTGTAACAAACTGATCTGATTGGTGCATGGAAAACATTGTGATGATTAAATCAACCAATCAGTTTAAAGCAATTTAGTTTAAAGAAGTAACGGTCACAGATTGCTTCAAAACAAATCAAACATGGCGCCGCGCTACAGCAAAGTAAAAGTTGCTTTCGCGTGAAAAATATGGCTTTTATCTTTATTTTTAAATGGAAAAGCATTGACCTTAAACAAGACTAACAAAAATTACATAGTTGATTGGAATTTTCAAGCTGTTAGCGTTGCATAATGTGATATAACAAAACCAGGAAAAGTTTGCCGGTGGAATGTTTGCTATAAACGCGTAAGTTAAAACTATAATTGTCTCGAACATTTTTATGTAAATTATTATAATATGGAAACTTTATTTAATTTTCTAAACTTACAACTGCAAATCTCACTATATAAGGTAATTTACAATTGGCAACTTGATATATTACTATTAAATGATTTTATAACGCACGATTAAATTTACTCTATTACTCTATATACATACTTATACAATAAAAATTTTAAAGTTTCATCAAGTCCGGATTCACCCAGTTCTTATTTCGACAACAAAAAATGTAGTAGGTTGACCTTATTGCAATATTAATAATCTTTTTAATAACGTATCTTACATGAGCTTTATCTAAATTAAAATGTTCTAACATGTCTATAAAACCAGACGATTCTTTGTCAAACACACCAAGTGCACTAATCGAAAGGTTGATGAAGTTTACCGCATGATAATTTTTCTTTTGTTCCATAATCATATCTTTATACTTGGAGTATTTCCTGTTAACATTATTTCTGAGGTTAGTCTCATATCCAACGGTTAATTCCAGAATATACAGACAATTGTCTTTCGTCAAAATTAGTAAATCAGGCCGATAATCATCACCAGTGATTGTAGAAGGATTAGAGAATGACGACAAATCAGCATAAATGGTCTGGATATGTTCTGATGGAAGGTTATTAGCAATGAAATTTAGAATTGAGTCATGTCTCCAAGTAAATCGATCGAGGTAGGAACTGCAACCAGCGACGACGTGCAATAGAGATTCAGGATTAATGCAGAACGAGCATTCAGAAGACGAGGATAGCCCCCATCTTTGAAGGTTCCTACGGGTTGGCAGCGAATTGTTTATATACCGAATGGTAAAGTTGAAAATGTTTTTAGGTAATTTGGACTGACAGGCTGGCCAGATCGTATTTACTTGGGTTAGGGAAAATCTTGATACACTGGTAAAGAATGAGCTTTGGTATGTTAGTTGGTTTGTTAATTTATCTACTTGATCATCACGAAATGACTTAATCACTTCCTTCGTCGAACTGTATTGGTCGTATTGAATATTAGTATGATTAGTTGTTGATTTCCAGAGGTGGATTATTGATTCATTAGGAGATGATTTTAAAGCATTCCGAATTGTTACCTGGCATTGTAAAAACTTAGTTGATGGGGGGATGATGTTAAGACCAAATTTGTTGCTGGTTAGGTAGATGTTACTCAGCGTTCCAGAAATAGGTACCTCAAGCCATTTGCGAACATATTGCGTAAATAAAGAATCCAGGTTTTCCGAAATCCAGGTTTTTGAAATAGATGTAATAGTAAGATGCCAGGAGAGTTTCGATAAAACATAACGATTGTAGAGTAGAATCTTGTTCTTCGGATGTAATGGATTGAGATCTATTTTTTTCATTAGATTTGTTAGAAGGGAGATTAGTTCCAGTTTGTGTTCATTATTAGTCATTTAATAATCAAAATATCTTCCTAAATAGCAGAATGATTTACCGAGTTCAATAGATGGAATAACGGCGTTGTTAATAAGAAGTTTATGGAGGTATTGAACAGATTTTGTGAGAGCCATTTTAATGCCAAATGTGCTGCATTTATCCACTCGGACAATCATGTCAGCCCATTGACACCAAATTGCAAATCGGTTTAATAAATGCTGATTTTCAGATTCTTGACCGGTAATCACGGCTGCGTCATCAGCAAATTGGAACCAGTGGATTGGGTTCAAGAGTTTATATGAAAAACCAAACTGTTGATATTTTTCGGATTTTATGTGCTGGACAAAAGTGTTGAAACAAAGGTTAAACAACAATGGACTAAGACAATCTCCCTGCAAAACTCCACGACCAACTAGTAGAAACGGGGTGTTGAGATCAGATGTGATGATTGATGTTTTAAAATTTGTGTAGAGGCTTTTAATCATGAATTGAATGTGTTTAGGTATGTGATGATAGCCGAGAACCGATTGAATTAGATTGTGATGTACTTCACCGAAAGCATTCTTGAGGTCAAGGAGGGTTATAACTAAGGATCGCTGTCTAATTCGTGCTTGATTGATCATATATGCCATTTGTGCCGTGTGTTCAAATGTTCCTGAGATATGGGGGGTGAATCCTTTTTGTATCTTGTGTTCAATAAAGTTATTCGCAAGTAGGTAAGCGAACATAGCATTACGGAGACTTGAAGTAAATACTTTCAGTGGTACAGATTGAAGGGTTATTGGTCGAAAGTTCTCGGGGAGATTAGTATCGCCTTTCTTGTGGATTAGTATTGTGCAAGCTTTCTTCCATTCGTCAGGAACAGTTCCAGAAAGCCACACTGCTTGGATTAGTTCTACTAGATATGTTCGGAGGTATGGACAGCGTTTAAAACAAATAATGGAGATTTGGTCAAGAGGAGAAGGTGAGCCAGATGTTTTCATTTTGCGAATAATGTTTGTTACTTGTTGATAAGTCGATGATGATTTGTTATTGATGATTTGTTATTTGTTTGATTTGTTGATGATGATTTGTTACTTGTTGATTTTATGTTTGTCTTGTTGTTTGTTACTTGTTGATAAGTATAGTAATAATAATAATAATAATGATTTATTATCAGTATTTCTATACAATGGCTCTTCACCTGATAAAACTACTACTACAATATCTAAAGAAATAGTATGAAAGTTGTAAACCTAGACCTAAGCATTACAATTAAATAGTGAGACAGCGTTGCTTTAAAATATTAAAAGTTTGTCTGGAGAAGTCTCTATGATCTGTGCATGATTTTATATCAGCTGGTAAAGAATTAAATAATGAAGTTGAACAATCTTGAAAGGTATTAGAAACTAAAGGTATAACTAAATTGACTTGAGCATTAGACCGTAAAACACGTGTGTGTTCAGACCTTTCAAGGCTAACATAGAGAAGCCAATCGATATTCTCTACTATATAACGCCTTATGTGCGGCTTTAAGAATATGCCAGTCCCTTCGTTCTGGCATGGGTAACCAACCCAATTTTAAAATCGATTCAATACTATTTACATAACATCCAGTCACAAAACTAGCAGCTAAGTACTGTATTCGCTGTAGTCTATTGAGTAGATATTCGGTTAGTGGATAGAATACTATGTCACTAAAGTCTAAACGAGAAATAACTAAGCTTTCAGCCAGATGCTTTCTCAGGGTGAAAGTTGTAAAGTTCTTAATTTTTCTGAGATTTGCTAGGGTGCCATAGCACGTCGAGGCAAGATGTTTCACATGGGCGTCCCATTTTAGATTCTCTTTTAGGTGTACTCCGAGTAGTTTCGTTGATTTTACTCGTTCCAGTACTTTCCCTTCAACAGCAAGCTGAAGGGGGCGCGATGACAGGGAGTGGTATGTTGACATCTGACTGGTAGTGAACAGCATACATTTTGTCTTGGTTGGATTAAGTGCCAGATTCGATCCTTGTGACCAATTGCTAAGTTTAGTGAGGGTTTTATTCATGCTCGTTTCCCCAGTCGTGAGGTCTGCCACTTTGCAATGATTATACAAGGTTGTATCGTCTGCATACTGATAACAGTTGGTATGAGAAGAAATGACGTCATTCAAGTTAGCAACGTAGAGGTTAAGGCCCCAGGATCGATCCTTGAGGAATTCCAAAATGTATTGGTTTATGAGAAGAGGATTTATCGTCTATCTGCACAAACTGGGAACGACCAGATAAATAGCTAGCTCAGCAACCACTTCAGGAAGGTCTTTGAGAAGCCCAACTTATAAAACTTTTCAATGGTGCTTTTAAAACAAATAGTGTCAAATGCTTTGCTAAAGTCTGCTAGGACCATCAAGGTAATGTCCCCTTTTTTCATAGCATGACGGATATCGTCTCGTATCCCCAAAAGGACGCTTGTTGTCGAATGTCCCTTTCGGAAACCAGAAATGCGTTCAGGTAGCAGCGCAGCTCTTTCTGCGAATTCTGACATTTGTCCAGCAACCAATTTCTCAAACACCTTTGATAACACTGGGAGTATTGAGATTGGCCGTAGCTGGTCATTGGATGTTGGGTTTTCTACTTTAGGAATTGAGGAAACTCTGGCTATTTTCCACAGCTTTGGGAAATATGCGTTGCTAATGCATTTGTTTATTATGCTAGTTAGAGGACAGGCAAGATGTTCAGCGACCAACTTGACGAATCTGGCTGGAATATTATCAACACCAGTGGAACAATCTGAGCGTAATGCACGTATACATTTGAAGACATCCTCTTGGGTGACAGGTTTCAGATTAAATTGATCTCCATTAGAACTCTGTTCAGGCAGATTGTCTGTCAGGCTTGTCAGGTCACTCAAAGACACAGCAGAGGCCTCGAGTGTTCTCTCTGCCGTGGTGGCAAAATGGGTATTTAGTTCGTCAGGGTCTACGCGAAGAGGCTTCGGATTTGGCTTCAGAATCCTGTGCATAACTCTCCATATATCGCGTGATTTGTTAGAAGACAGCGCTTTTTCGATGAATGCCTTCCGTGCTGATCTTATTGCAGACTTTAAGTTGTTTCTAACAAGTCGAAAAGCGGTCCATACACCGTTATCAGCGTCGCTTTTATGAGCTTTATGTCTTAAATGATCTCTTTCTTTTTGAAGAGTTTGGATATTGGCAGACTTCATCCATGGAGCCGGGGGTCAAGAGTGCATGCCTTTCTAAACACTGAACGAACAGGGAGTTTAGGGATTCTAGTTGTTCGTCTGGGTCATCAGAATAAGCTATGACAGACAAAGGTAAAGTGGAGAAATCCTCAATAAATAAACTTTCATTTAGAGAGTGACTTAATATCCCGTATATATTTGTGCCGTGCTTCAAACCTGGGGACTCGTACATTAATACTTGCGTAAATGCCATCATGATCGCTGACAATTGAGCAGGTAATAATTCCAGTGTCAGCAACCCTTTGTGGGAAGTTAGCTTTGTGGGAAGTTAGCTTGAAGCATGTCAATGTTCATGTCTCCAGTTAGGATAAGCATTCCATCCCATGTGACAGTTAGTTAACTAAGCAGGGACTCTAGACTTTCCAAACACTTTGCCGTAGAAAGCATGCGGATAGATCTATACATAACTCCGACAAGTGCTTTGCTGTGAATATTCCTACCGGGGACCCCTAGCCACAGATGCTCGAGCTCTGGATGGAGTTTCTCAATGTCGAGGCGACGCTTATACTTGATATCTTCTTTTATATAAACACCGACACCACCGCCTTTGATATCCTCCCGATGACGGAATTCAGTAGCATATCCAGGTATGGAGACGTATTCCATCAACTGGGGGTTATCTTTTAGCCAGGTTTCACTTAGAGCTACTATATCTAAAGGATAGCTATTAACAGTGAGTAGGAACTCGTTGAAAGTAGATACCATCGATTGGGTGTTTAAATGCATGATCTTTAGATGCGATGTTTTGGTTTGAAATATGCACTCTAAGTTCGAAGAGTCCTGAGATGCCGAGGTCTGGGTTAAATATAAATTTAGGTCATCTTCTATCATTTCTTCGGTGGAGACTTTATAAAATGGAAGTTGAGAAATGGTGCACTTCGAGCAAACCCAGACATGGTGTTTATCTGCACGGATGGTCTTTATTTGATGTGCAGATATACCGGTACATTTTGCGTGAAATTGATCATAACACACTTCGCACAAAAATCGTTTGAGATTAATCTGTACAGCCTTTTCACAGGACGGGCACTTGGGAGCCTTATTTCTTTTTACAGCTGTTTTCGTTCTTGTTTTCAACTTTATCAGGACCAGGATTCAACGCGATGTCTACACTTAGTATGAGGTGTTGAGATGCCATAGAGTTATTATAATACGGTACAGATCTTTTCGAGAAAACTAAGCCTTTTCGTTGCAAGAATACACAAGTATTAGTTTTAACGGTAAATGGAATAATGCGCCATTTAACTATTCGTTTATATCGCCAGGAGTACAAAGGATATAATATATTCAAGTCGTTCCATTGACTGCCTCTATTGATACAGCGTATGCAAATTTCTAACTTTCCAGCATGTTGTTGTAAAACATTGGGTTTTTCACAGCCTAGTCCCAGGCTCTCTCTCTCTATTCGCTGCTTTGACATATTTAAATAAGTCTTAAAAGTTTCGCTCGCTACTCTGGTTTAAATAAATGATTACAAAGCCCAGTCGAATTGTAATCAAGACCCCACCAGAGTAGCGAGCGAAACATGATTGATATACCTGGTTGCAGTGAACGAACAAACTTTAAGTCTTAAAAGTTTTATGCCTGGGTGTGCTGGGCGGAACGCTTCAGCGAGAGAGTCTAGCAGATTTCGATAAAATGGTCCCTGATTTCAAAAAAGTGGTCCCTGACCTGGTTACCAAGCATGCAGCATTCGTAAATAGAAAATGTTATGGAAATTTCCTTTGCGTTTATAATTAAGTCATTAGTTTTGCTCTAATGCTGTCGGAACAATGAAATAGGCTACGTTTCTAAGGCTACTAAATCTGACTCGTGTTTACTAAAATATAAAGCCATATTAAATGCTATCTAGAAGCTTGAAAATTATGCCGAGTCTCCGACTAAAAATGTTTTGACAACACAGTCATGCCAGGCAAATATTTCCAATCTGCTCAGCTACTTAAACTTGTCAAGTAGAAAGCGTATAGTTGTGTATACCAGTATGGTCTAGTGTTGATAACAACTTGCGAGTATATAAATAACATCAACGATTATATATTGTATATAATTTTTTTTAATTGAGCACATTTTAGTACAGTTTGAATTTGGTTATGTAGACATCGAACATGATCAACGAACATTGTTGTATTTACAAGGTTATTTGTATATATAAATTTTTTGCCATATTAAAAATATTGAAATCTGCTAGGCGTTCTGAAGAACCCTTAGCGGTGACGTCACACCTAGGTCCCAGTCTTGTACTACATCCACGTTTTTTCTCGCGCTTGCTTCAGAACGACTGGGACTAGGCTGGGGTTTTTCATAATACTTGCTCAAAACG